ACTACCACCACCTGGCATTTCCATTTCCACTCCCCGCCGAGGCACAACGAGACTGAAGAAAAGGCGCCAAGGGAAAAGTCTTGGCATTACTTTGTGGTTAAAGGAAAAGCAGAGTGAGGATGTGGATTGGAATTGAATGAAAGATAGTGCTGACCAGAGACCACAGCTATGAAATCTGCACAATTGCAAACTGCCTCTACGCCTCGACTCCTCCTCACCAACCACCCACCCACCACAACAATAATTCAAGCAGTTTTGCAGTAAAGTCGAATGTGAAAGCAGGAAACCAAATGGACCAAAAGAACGGAGTACATGGGATCGAGCGGGGCCGCCAGTACTAACAATAGAATGGGGTTTGTGGGTGCCAAGAAATATTGCATAGGCGATTGATAGTTATAAAGATATTTGCTTGCTGCCACTGTCACTCTATCCATGCTCGATGCACAGCCTTTAATAATAATATTGCACTGGTAACTGGTAGTGCCACGCCAGATGGTGACAAGGACACTTGTGTTTACACTTTCAATTGCAGCGAGAAAAAACAAAACACCAAGCAAGGCATTGTGTACAATGGAAGTGCACAAAACTTTCAACTTTAGCAATGTAATATAAGCATTTTTCCACTCTACTTGCAAAACAATCAATAGAACAATCGAGAGAGCAGGCAACCGGCAAACGGCAAACCGGCAATCAATTAAGTTTCATTTCATTCTCAAAATGGGAAAAATGAATTCAACTGTAGTTTAATTGGTACGCCCCCCCACATTATCGTTCCCTCTGTTACAACATTCGGGATACCCCTGAAATCGTATATATTTTGGATGTTACATGTACTTGCTCTGTGATATTGATGTTCAGAATTAACGACTCCATTTCCCTGCCGTTCTGAAAGTGATCCCAATGTGGAAAAGGAATCATTTGAATAGAATGCAAGGAAACAGAGGCCGCTGTGTGGGTCAGATGAGTGTTAACAATCGTAACGAGGCAAAAGTCACAGTTGTAATGAATTTCCCAGGTGCGATTCGTATGATGAATGAATGACTGGGTGGATGGATGGATGGATGGATGGGTGGATGGGTAGATGGGTGTGTTGCCTGGTTACTGTTGTGAGTGCATTCACGATGATGGTGCAGATCCCGCCTCCCCATTTTCTGCTCTGTTCGGTTCTCCCTTTGTGTTTAGCTTTTAATTAATTCTTAAGAAATGCTCCCAGCCGCTGGCTCCACCTCCACCTCCAGCTTCAGGCAGAACGCCTCCTCTCCTCTTCTCTCCACCACCCACAGGCTCACTTGAGCTGCAGCTTGAGTTTCGCAGTGAAAACTTTACCCGATGGATACACGCACACAGATGCTCCTCGAATTCATTCTCCTGCCATTTGGAATTGGAGAGCGAACCACTTGAGAGAGAATCTACCGAGAGACGAGAGAAGTTCTCAGTTCTGAGTTCTGAGATTCGAGTGCAAGTGTAATTGAGCGGCAATCGAAGATGCAAATTGCAAATTGTAAAAATACCCCAAAGCGGGGCAGGTGGGTGATGACGATGAGCAGGGGGAACTGTGGGGACACTGTGGGGATGTGGCAAAAGAGGCACATTACTTTGGCTTGGCTTTCGGTTTGCAACAAGAAGGATGCTCATAGGGCGTGAGACTGCTGGTATTTCCCCCCCACACCATGGCGACTTTCGTGAATAATTCAATTGCAAATCAAATCAAAGACGAGTCGCTCTCTCTCTGCGTGTCTTTCTTTGGATTGTCTCTGATTTGCTGTCACTTTTCATGGATGGTTTATCCCTGCCGCCATCCATAATCAGCTTTAAAGTTAATTTTGGTTTTCTTTAGTTGCTTCCTTTGGGTTCAGGTTGGGAGCAGGCATTCCACAGTCTACCTGCTGCTCTTGAAAGGGAGGAATAACTCAGTTTTTCCAATTAAAATTCCATTTTGAAGTTGCATTGCTGGATTCTCATCGCCATTGTGGCACCGCAGTCACTCCACAATTAGCTTGAAATCGAGTTTTGTTTTGTTTTGTTTTCTCTGCGTCACACCCACAAATTCTGGTCTACCTGCTGCTGCTGATGCTTCATCGGGATGTGGGGAGTGGCAGTGTGCAGAGTGGCAGCGTGGCAGAATGGGGTCCCAGAGATTCCAGAGCGAGTGTGACTCATGCTCATGCCACCACCAATACTCGTTGCCACAATGAGAACAACTTCCGCCTGTGGCAGGGACAGAGAGCAGCAAATAAGCCTCTTCCGGTGCACACCCTCCACAGCGGACTGCTATCAGGTGCAAGTGCGGCAGACACTTGTTGCAGTTGCAAGCTCTCAAGCATGAACTCAGCTATAACAAACAAAAAAATACAAAAAATATCGTTGATCATCATTGGAATGAAGGGGCCACCGCCAAGGGAGTGTGCGTTGTGTGTGTGGGTGAAAGCGGGATGGCTTATCAGTGTCTCTGTCCCAGTCCCTGCCTCCGCAACTCTTCTCTGCACTCTCCACTCTCCGGTCGATGGCCAGAAACAATTAACTTGTCGCATGTGGCTGTCATGGCACCACGGGGCAGCAATGCCAACAATGCAGAATGTGTGTCGCTGTTCTGGTCATTTGCTGATATGACAAGAGAAATATGCAATCACACACAGATACACACGCATACAGATACACAAAAAGAGAGAAGCACGCACACAGATACAGATACTGGAAATGCAAAATACATTTAATGGCTTCCCCGTATACCCGTGTGTCCTGCATTTATCTATTATTTATATCTTTCCGTCCATCCATCCGTCCCTCTGCCATCACCTCACCACCTACTTTCCCCCTCTGTCATGCACTGCACGAAAAAATCCACTGAAAGCACCAAGCAAACTCAAGATATCCACACGGGAATCGAACTTCAAGATGGATTCATGGCTAGAAGCAAAGTGGAAGCTCTCTGGGGCCCATTCCCACATTTGCAGATGAAAGTGATTCCACTGATTCCATTTACTGCTATCCGTTTGCTTATGGGACATTTGTACAGCAGTTATAACGATTCATTCTGGCTGCCAGTCGAATTTTGGGGCACTTACTTGAAGCTAGAGATCCAGAAAGTGGCTTCTTTTTGTTTGCTTCAGTGTAGCATCCCTGGCCATCCCTCCGTCCTCCCTGGACTGTTGTTGTCTGCCTAATGCCAGAGCCATCATCGATGTGGAAGCGTTTCGGGTCGTGTCGTGTCGTGTCGGGTGGGGTTGAGTAGAATGTGGGCATTGCCCACTTGACGACTGACAGCCTTAGCAATTGTTGTGCTTTTCCCGTGTGCTCCAATGCCGTGCTCTCTGCTCTCTGACCATCCCAATGGGTTATTGATGATCCCCGGGATACCGTCGGAACGGGCCAACGGGATTAGTGGGTCTCTGTCTAGAGAGGACGAGATAGAGAGAGAGAGAGAGAGAGAGGGAGACTGACTGCTATGGCACAGATACCCCGTACAGCCAACCACGTATTTGTCCATTAGCTGGACATCAATCATGATAATTGCCTGCTGCTGCTACTGCTGCTGCCCGTCTGTCCGGCTGTGAGATTTGCGTTTGTGTTTGCGTTTATGTTTGCTGAGGTGATTGTCAGCCAGCTGCCGGCTATGAAACTACATAATTGAAATGTCCACTGCAATAAGCCAGCATCAACCGTTCCGTTCCATTCCGTCCCCTCTGTACATTAATTCTAATGATCAACTAACGGATTCATTTGATTGCTAAATGAATGTTGGAACACACCTTCCAGCTACAAATGCCAATTCAGGGGATGGACAGCATGTTGGATGTATCGAAATAAAATCGATTGACCGACCGATAATCGATTGTATCTCTTCATATTTTTCCTCCACATCTTTGGCATCTTTCTGTTGCTGTTTTTGTTATTTTCAACCTTAGGGTAGGGTCGGGTAGGCAGGCTCTGTACTCGATGTCAGAGCCAACGGCATTTTAATTCGTTTATGATTCCCACTCACAATCGCACTCACATTTATATTCCCTTCGCTTACTCTCCCTCTCTCGCTCTCTCTGTCTTTCTGTCTCCCTGCTGTTAAGCAAATTTAATTGTCACCCTGGATGCCGCAAGTCGCATGCCTCTGGCCATATCGTTCCGCCTGCATTCCGCCAGAAATCGGTGTTTAATGCATTCCTCCAGTTCGATTGAACGGCAACGTGGGGGCTGGGATTCTATAAATAGAATTCAACAAAATGGCACACTTAGGGCGGGGGGTGGAACTGGAACAGGACAGTCCTTTTGCTGGACAGAGACTGTCGGCGGCGTTGATGAAGCTGGAGCTGGAGCTGGTGCTGTGAATGACGTTCACCGGGAGGCAGTGCGTGGTCGTGGAATCAGCTCAATGTGCGGGGCTTTTGCTGCACTTGTCAGGATATTCAAGACCCAGCTGCTGGAATTGCTTTTGTCGTGCTGCAACGCGCAGGCCACACCATCAAATCCACTTTGTCAATTAGCCCCCAGGTTTTCAGCGCCCCATAATCCAAAAGTCGAACATATTAAGGCGCAAATTGCCTTTCCTCGAAAATGAAAAGCTGTCAGCAACGTTGCAAGGGGAAAAGCGTCTAGGGCTGAAAGAGTTAACAAAAAAAAGAAGGACAAGCTTCAAAAGTTTCATGAAAAGTTTGGTGGAGTCAGATCCTCTTTGCTCATAATTGAAAACTTTTTGAAATAATAAAGGACGTCCACCGCCCCGTGGAATAGCTGTACCTCCTCGCCTGTGCCAGGCTGTCAGCCTTTTATCTTTTGTAAGCAGCCACACAGTGCAGCTCAAACTGTGCCTGTTTGAGAGCCTCTGAAATGGCGAGATGGAGATCTCCCATGGGATTGCCTCGGAGCCATCCGATGAATCGAGATGCAAAAATCGTAACTTTTGCCGAGACTTTTATAGCGCTCTTTTTCAATTTCTTTCCCCCCCCCCCCCCCCATTTCCTTCACTAATGCAATTCCCTTTGCTCATTTCCATCAATTCCCATGAACAGGAATCGCCGGCGCTCCGGCTCAAGCATTGTTGTCCTGGACGGTGATGACCTGAAGCCATGCCTCCCGGATGATTATATAAGTGGACAGCATCATCACTTGCAACAGCAGCACCCGCAGCATCCACAGCATCCGCAGCATCCACAGCAGCAGCAGCAGCAGCAGCACCACTATCGCACGCATTCGAGTGACCTCAGAGAGATTGACCAGGAAATGCTGACCATGCTGTCCGTGAATCAAGATAACGGTTAGTAAACACAGCTATTTATTTTATATATTTTTAGCTATAATATTTATCTCTTATTGTAGGACCACATCGTGAGATGGCCGTCGATTGTCCGGACACGTTCATAGCGCGCAACAAGACGCCACCCAGATATCCGCCACCCCGTCCACCGCAGGTAAGCAAACAACAGCAAAAAACAACAAGAAAAACCCAAAAAACCAAGTAATAACACACACCTAAAAACCCACCAAACACCAACACTAACAACAGCACCACTTAACACCACTAAGCTAATGTTTGAGAGTAACCAAAATAATGGAAGGTAGAACCCCCCACAGACCCCGTAGTAGATCCAGACCCAACCCACCCAAAACCAGTGCATAAAAAATATAGAAACCTAAGAACTAAATAACTTAAAAACCTAAACCGAAATAACTACCAAAAACAACAACAACAACAACAACAACAACAACCACTCGCTTCATTCCACACTCAACCACATTCATACTCACATGTCATGCATTTCATTCATTTTCTTTTCAAAAAACCAAAACCTGCACCACTAAAAACCATACACACACATATGCACACACACACACACACACACACGCACACAGAAACATAAAACCACCATCAAGAAAACCAACACCAACACCAAGAACACCAACACCAACACCAACACCAACACCAACACCAACACTACAACCTCAACCACCTCCACCATATCGACATTCCATAATGATGATCATGCTAACAAATTGTTAATTGTTGCATATCATTCTTCACATGAACATGAACAACAACAACAACAACAACAAAAACATGAACACCATCATCAACACACAACAACAACAACTAAAACAACAACAACAATTGTTGCAACCATCGATGATGATGTTGCCACACAAAATCTGTTCAATCAAAAACAACAAAATAAATTGGAACAAATTGAAAACTATGAAAATTGTCTACAATTGGAACAACAACAACCACAGACAACAGTGGCGACAGCAGCAGCAGCAGCAGCAGCAGCAGCAACAACAAACACAACCACACAAGTGGCTGAACAGCAAACGCCATGCAACAATAAGTTGCAACAACAGGCAGCGAGCAATAGCAACAGCAATAGCAACAGTGGCAGCAACAACATGGCAGATGATTACCTCTGTGTGGTGGATGGCGGCCTCTATCGCAGCCAGGACTCTGGCTCACCCACGTCGACAGGCACCTTCGACGAGGTCCTGAGCAAGCATACCCTGGACTCCTTCGGCAGCATTGCCTACCGCCACTTGCACCAGCAACAGCAACAGCAGCAGCAGCAGCAAGCGACGAGCAACGGCAACAGCAGCGGAAGTGGAAGTGGAAGTGGAACCACTGCCACGCCCAGCAATGGGCAGCCGCCAGTGGATGATCAGACATTGGCGAGTAGCAATACGTGCCACACAAGCAACAGCAATTCGCTGAACAGCAGCAACAGCTCCATGCACACCAGCAACAGCAACAGCAGCCACATTGCCAGTGCCGCCTCCTCCTCGCTGACTAACCCCACCAGCATCAGCATCAGCAACAGCAACGGCAGCAGCTCGACCGTGCCCGATGACCTAAGCCTTGCCCCACCCGGCTATGAGCCAGTGGTGGCACTGCTGCCCAGCCTGCCACCGATGGCCAAGCACAGGGAGCTGCCCGTCGATGTGCCCGACAGCTTCATCGAGATCGTGAAGACAGCGCCGCGATATCCGCCGCCGGCGCATCTCTCCTCGCGCGGATCGCTGCTCTCCAATGGCAGCGCATCCACGGTCCAGACCACGCTCTCCTCGCTGCCACCTGCCACTGTTGCCACCGTTGCCACTGTTGCCACCGTTGCCACCGTTGCCACTGTGGGGGCTGCAGCTGGCACTGCCACTGCCACGGCAACGGCAACTGTTGCTGGCGGCAGCAGTGGCATAGGCATAGCCGGCGATGCGAAGCGGGTGTCCGATGAGGTATACCACATTGTATTTGTACTTTGAATTGAATCTCTCTCGCTCCCCCGCTCTGTCTCTTTGTATTTCCATCTTTATCTCTACCTCTACATCTATCTGTATCTCTGCATCTCTGTATCTGTGTCCACAGTTTCCCTGTGCCTAGTTTTATCTACAAGTTTCTCTATCTCGTAGTTTCTCTTGATATACCTAAATATGTAAGTGTGTAAGCGGATTGTGTGTCCATGTCCCTGTTGATTGTCCCACAATCGCATCTGTGTCCTGGAAGTGGGAGGCATATCCTCTGGGAGCCAGGGACTCTGAATCTTTTCGATAACAACTGTCGGTGTATCGAACATCGATTACTAATCGATTAAATCTATCGACCATACATCGAAGCTTGCGTTTTGTAGGAGTGGATAGAAAAGTCGTAAGCCTTTTTTTCTGACTAATTAGCGTTGACCCACCCCCACCCCAACCTCGCAGCAACCTAAAGCAGGTCGGACATTGTGCCACAGTTGACCCCGAGGCGGAATGTGGCATGTGGCACAGACCACCCATCCAACCCCTTTCGCAATCGGTTGGCCTAATTCGTGGCATTAGAGCCGCAGCACTGGCCTCGTTAGCAGTGGCCTAATCCAAACATAACCAGAAGAGGACCACGACAAACACCAAAGCCCAACCCCCACCATCATCCCAGCCCCCGTCTTCAGCCGCCCTTTCACGCTCAGTGAGGGGTGGTTGGGGGCTCAGAGCTCCCGCTGTGCCGCCTGTTCCCGCTGCTTATTTCATCATTTGCAGCTCTCTCCCTCTCTCTGGAGCTCTCGCTGTACCCTGAGCACTCTCTGAGCTCTTTCAGGCGATGAAAAATAAATGCCATTTATATGAAATTGCTCTCGATTAATTTTCCAATGGCTGCAGAACAAAAGCGAAACAGAGACCAAAAGAAAGAGAGGGAGAGAATAACGCTTTTCCTTTCATTCCTGCAGTATCTGTATCTCTGGTATGTTGCTTTTGCTGTCCTTCTCCCTCTTTTTAAAATCTTTTCCTTTATTCATGGCTTTGGCAGAACAGCACAGCTGACAAACAGACAGACAGACGGACAGACAGGCAGTGAGACAATGCACTGAATGAAAGGAATCAAGAGAGTAATTGCATTTATTTCCCGAGTGTATTCCTTCGAGTCACTCTAAGCTCCAAGTTTCAAGCGCTCGGAGCAAATGACACCCACAAAACTTTAAGAGCAGTGTGGGAGGAAGCTTAGATGCTCTCTCGATACTTCTACCCAGCCATGGTTCGTTCTTATGGCAGCTATATGCGATATGCCCCCCCCAAAAGTGGCTCGAGAATGGTCAAAGAACATCCACACAACGTACAGCAGAGGGATATCTTAGAGATATCCGGTAAGAGACTAGCGATGGTTCCCTTGGCACTCACTCACTTGATTTGCAAAAGGATTAAGCTGCGAAATGTTCAAGGCCGCACCGGCTTTGAAGCTTTCCTCATTTACTTCTCAATTTAAATGCCTCGTGTAGCAGAGTTATTCGCATTATTCGATGATGTTCTTTAAAGTGGATATTCCCTTTCGGAAATTTGGCATATCCGAGTCAGATACTTAGTTAGAATTAGATGAAAATAGATTAACTTACGAAATTGAAGCGTTTACTGACTCCGAATATATTCGTATTTAGCTTACAGTCATGCAGATGACATACATTTTGTTTTTGGACAGTCTATTTTGTACATTTGGCATGTGCTTCTGGCTATTCGATGAATGAAATTCCCAAGCACTCAGATTGACTTTGTAGAAGCATCCAGATGCATCCAATTATCCAAGGCCTCCCGAGGAGAAATCCTATAATCCGGGGAGGGCTTTTTGTTTCTCATTTCTCGCTAGTCTGTCATCCATCTTGCAGGGGGGATGGGGAATTGCACCCAACATAGAACACACAAAATCCATTAAAAAATTAATTCTGAAAATCATCGGTCACACACAGAAGCATAAAACAACACACGCACAAACACACACATACACACACACACACAGACAAACTGAAGCACACACATACTCGTAAATACACGCACATGTGTACATGTGAATGAACAGTAATCAAATAAAACTGATGTGGAAAATCGCGTTATCCCTACAGCTCAATGGCAATGCCAAGCCCGTGCCACCGCCCCGGGATCATCTACGGGTGGAGAAGGATGGGCGGCTGGTCAACTGTTCGCCCGCCCCCCAACTGCCGGATCGCCGGGCAGCGGGAAATGGCAACGGCAGCAGTGGCAGCCACAGTCAGCAGCACCATCTGCAGCAGTTGCACCTCCATCAGCAGCAGCTGCACCACCAACAGCAGCAGCAGCAGATCGCCCAGATTGTGGAGCCCACTCTGGAGCAGCTGGACAGCATCAAGAAATACCAGGTGAGTGGAGGCTTTCAATCTCAAAATGTTAAGTATTTTTTAGCGGCGCCTGCGGGATAGGCTATGAAAATGTTCAAATGCTAAGAAACTCCACCAATGAATGCAAAACTGTCGGTATCCATGGGGAAGCAGCTTAAAGGGGTTTCCTATATAACTGTTCTATTTGTGTACATATAAATTACATTCTTCTTTGCTTTGGTGCATTTAAGTAGAACTAGTTTGATATTTCGATTGTCGAAATTTGAAGTGTCTCTGGAAGCGCTCTTTATGCAGTCGATGTGTTAAGGGGGATTTCAGGTGATCTGCTGATGATGTTTCGTGATCCACTGTGATCTACTGTACCTCCACAATGTTGTTACTCTCAACGCGGTTGGGCTGCCAGGTCAGTCTTTTCGATTGTGCTTTGTGGTTCCGTGGGCTCCGTTTGCTGCCCTGCCTCATTGACATGCATCACATGTAGCCGCGTAGCCTTTCCCTCCCCCGCCAACTACTCGCACCCACGGGTCCACTCGGCCCACACCTTGCCCTTTTCACTGGTTAACGGCAACAGAACAAACGCTCTTTTGTTCTTATATTTGTGTGTGTGTTGGGGCAACACTTCCGGTTCGTTTGCTGGTTTTCTCCACTCCTCTCCTCTTCTTTTGTTTGTTATTTGCTCTCCAGTTTTGTGGACATTGACCACAAGTGCAGTGGCTCTCGAACTTTAAGCTGTACTTAAACAGAGACAAGGGTGTGGGGGGCAGGGAGAATTTTGATTTGCCGCGACCTCTGGACCTGGACCACCATTACATTTAACTAGTAAAACTATTAAAAAACTTTTACCGCGCCACAAGACAATACCACCAAGGGGCGGGACGTGGCCAGGTGTGGGTGCTGAGGCGGGTGCTGCTGCTGGTGCTGGTGCGCTGTGGCAAGGTATGCTGGATTGTAATGCCACAGAGGGCAGGGGAAAGGGTGTTGATAGAAGGGCGTAGCTGTTTATACGGAACTACGGCTTAAGGGCGCGGGGATCGTGGGGGTCGTGAAAAAAAAGTTCCTCAACAACTTTATCCACTGCGTCAAGCGGTGGGTGGAGCGCCTGCTGGAAGGGGAGAATGTATGTGCTCTAGGAGGGGACTGCTAAATGTTTGGGGGGGGGGGGGGGGGGGGGGGGGGGGGGGT